AAAATCTTTAAGAAAAAAAAAAAAAGAACTCTTACAAATCAATAAGAGAAAGGCAACCCAGTGAAACATTACACCAAAGACAGGAATAGACAGGAATAGGCATTTCACAGAGGAGGAAGAAACCCAAATGGCTCATAAACATTGGAAAAGATGCTCAGTCTTTTTGGCGATCAGGGAATCGCAAATTAAAACCACATTACCATTTATCACCCACTAGATTGGCAAATGTTAAAATATCTGACAATAATAAGGGTTAGCCAGAATGTGGAGATTTAGGAAGTCTCTCACACAGCTGATGGAGTGGAAATTAGTGTAACCACTTTGTAAAAACAAGTTGACAGTGCCTAGTAAGATTGAATGTGCATTTCCACTCTGATGTAACTCCTACACATGGCCACCAGGAGACATGGACAACAAAGTTTATAGCAACATTGTGAATGAGGGAAAAATGGAAACAACCCAAATGTTCATCAGCAGTGGAATGGATATATAAATTATGATGTAATTAAGCAATGAAATACAATCAGTTGGTGAAAAAATGTATGACTTACAGTTACATATATCAGTATGGATGATTTGTAACATAATTTTAAGTGAAAGCAAGTTGCAGAAAAATATATCTGTCTATATAGATTTTAAACATGTATTAAATCATGGATTATTTATACATAATTGCTAAAATATAAAATCAAAGACATGATTAATACAAAATCCAGGATCTAGGTTACCAGGAGAGGAGCAGGTGCAGTGGGGGAGGGGGCTGTTAGCATAAGCTCCCACAGCAAGCTTCAAGCTTCTGAGCAACTGCCATATTTCTGTTTCTCAGGCAGAAGAGTGGGTAGGTGGGTATTTGTTTTATAACTTTTTAAACTGCATATACACATTTTATACCCTCTGACATAGTTTTTAAAAACTGCAACCTGTAGTATTTTTAAGAGATGGTAGGACATGTTTTGAAATTAGGTGATGTGGATTATTAAAAACGCACAAAATTTGAAAATCATCACCTAAGACTGTGTTGGGAGGAGATGTCCTTTTTCAGGTTAAGGCCTCTCCATATGTTTATTAGTTTGAGGGTCCAGGTGACGGGAAAGGTACAGAGACATAAAGTGGTATCTCTGGCAGAGTGACTTAAACGGGGTGTAGAAGGCACCAGTCCCTGCACCTGGGCTGCCTTTCTTATTTCCTCACTTCTGTAAATATTTAGTGACTGACTGCCAAGTCCTGGGCATTGTCCTAGGGGCCCAGGAGCCAGAGAGGTAATATCCCTATCTTGGAGCTTTTAGCTGTTTTCGGATTCATGCTTACAGGTTTTGTTAATCTTAGCCTCCTAAACTAACTAGATAGCAAAATTCACTTCAAGTCCATATCCTAATTTACTCTTTGATATCTTTTTAAGGAAGTCATTTATTTACAGATTTAGACAATCTAGTTGAATGCATTGTCTTTACAGTTTTCAGAGTAATATATCCTTTTTGGTCTGGTCCTAGCCCAGTTAATATTTTAATTCCTATATATATTTATTCTCAGTGTTTTCCCTTTCTGTGCATATCAGAACTCTTGATAGGTTCTAATTCTTTGGAATTGATTTTAATGTATTAATTTTACCTTTCTATCTTTATTTTTGAGACTCAAAGTTGGATCTGATCTTAAACCTTGACTTTAAAGCAGTATTTTCAAAAGCATTACAAGCATACTGCTAGAGATTATAAGGTGATACAAAAGGAAACATTATTTTAATAGTCATGTAATTATTTTAATTTAATTTATAATTTTATTATAAAATATGCACATGAATTCATGGCTATTTGTGCCCAGGATGTGGCTAAAGTCTCTATGATAATCCATCTCGCATAGACTGCATGAATTAATGGCCCAGCTGGTTCTCAGACACAGCAAAATGTCATGAAATTAATACATGGGTTACAGATGTAGCATTTAGTTGTAAAGGTGAATCAAGGTATTCTCTGATGTCCTTGTCTCCTACTTGTGTTGTAACTCAAAAAATAAGCTTATGTGGTTTGGTCAGGAAAAAGCAATCTAGAAAATTCATCTAGGCAAATTGTACAAATAACATATTCTGTTATAGGACAGATTCTGGGGCTATAAAGAGGAGTAAGATGTAGATTCTACCTTTCAGGAACGCCAGTTTCAAAGATATAGGCACGTAAATTGAAAAGTGCACCATAACGTAAACGCAACAGTGGAAACATGTCCACTGTAAATGGGTAGCTGGGAAAGGTGGTCTCTGACTTATGGAGCCAGGAGGAAAGTCTGCCCAGGGCAAGGCTTGCAAGTAGTCTTGAGAGCTGAGCAGGAAACTTACAGAAAAATAGACTGGCAAAGGGCAACCTCAGAAAGGCCCATGCCAAGGTACAGAGACCTATGAGAACATGGCGTTTGGGCTAATTGAAGCTCGTCATTGATGCTAGTGTGAGGAGAGGTGGGAGCCAGATATGAAGGCTTTTGTATGGACTGTAATGGTGTGCATTTAGATCTTATTCTATAAGCGATTATCAGCCTTTGAAAGGTGTCAGGCAGAAAAGTGTGACATGAGGTCTGGGGGCAGTATAGAAAACAGAGGGGAGGATCAAGTCACATTTCAGCACATCGTCCTGCAAAAGGAGGATATGGAGAGCACTTAGAGGGAATGTTTAGAGTTTCTGCTTTGTTTAGCTTTATATGATTTTTAGGAAATTAGATTACATTTAGATTTTGCCCAGAATTTAATGTGTTGAAGGTGTTAGTGGTAGGTGATTTGGAGCCAATATATGAAGTTTCTGGAGAAATTGATATTATTCAGGGTGCCTGTGTGGCTCAGTTGGTTAAGCGACTGCCTTTGGCTCAGGTCATGATCCTGGAGTCCAGGATCGAGTCCCGCATTGGGCTCTCTGCTCAGCGGGGAGCCTGCTTTTCCCTTTCACCCCCCACCCCATGTTCTCTCTCTTTTTCTCATTCTCTCAAATAAATAAATGAAATCTTTAAAAAAAAAAAAAGAAATTGATATTATTCAGTCTGTATTATAAACAAGGTATTAACTTTCCCTACATAGTCTTTTTTTTTTTTTTTTTTAAAGATTAATTTTAGGGAGAGCGAGCCAGAGAGAGCAGGGGGAGGAGAGGGAGAAGGAGAGTGTCTTACGCAGGCTCCTTGCTGAGCACAGAGCCTGACGTGGGGCCTGATCCCATGACCCTGAGATCATGACCTGAGCCAAAATCAAGAGTCGGATACTTAACTGACTGAGCCACCCAGGCGCCCTGTCTTTCCCTACATAGTCTTTTTTTTTTTTTTAAGATTTTATTTATTTATTTATTTGACAGAAAGAGAGAGACAGCGAGAGAGGGAACACAAGCAGGGGGAGTGGGAGAGGGAGAAGCAGGCTTCCTGCAGAGCAGGGATCCCGATGCAGGGCTTGCTGCTAGGACCCTGGGATCATGACCTGAGCCAAAGACAGACACTTAACGGCTGAGCCACCCAGGCGCCCCTCCCTTAAAGGCAAAGAGAGTTTTGCTTATTTTGTGTTAAATACATGCAAGCATATAAAAGTTAAGTGGAGATGTGGTATTGATAAGGCACACAGCTGCAAACAAATTCTATTTTTCAGTGGTACGTACGGTAATACACTGCAGAGTGAGTAGAATGAAATATTTACACCTTTTTGCAGTTAATATCCTTCTAAGGAAATCTCAACAACTGTGTTATTTAAAGGAAATTGGGTGGGCAACAATATCAGTATATGAAGAGCCTCCTTTATGTATGGGTTTCCAATGTGAATGTTCTGAATAACTTAATTGTGGCATGTTGTTTACTTTTGTGCATATTTACTATTAAATCTTAGACTCACTGGTCTTTGGATTTGGTGTATATTGTTCTACCTTACAGAGAAATGTATTAGTATGCCAACTTATTCTTGTACCTTCAGCATATCTGAATTTATAGTCACGGGTCTGATGCTGTCTGTGAATATGAGGGCACTCTTCTGTGTCTGAATACATAGCCAGACCCTTAGCATCAAATGTTCTGCCTCACGTTTATTTTGGGAATAATCTCTTAATAGGCACATTTTGGGATGTGACTTAGCAGCCAATTTGCTAACATTCAAAAGCCACGAGCTCTCAGCATTATCTTAGCCTTTTAGTATTTTAGTCCAGCAAAAATTTCTGACTCTGATTGGGAAATTAACTATAACATCTTACCAAAAATGATCCAGAAGCATCAAAAGAGAGAGTTCATGCAAAGGGCACAGAGAGAAGTTCAAAAGGAAAGTTAACATTAACTTAAGAGTGCATAGTAGAAATGAGGGAGTAAGCATAGAAATGAAGGACCACAAGTGACCTTGGAATAACTGTAGGTTCCTTTCTATAAGGCAAATAATGTTGATTATAATGCATCTTAGCTTTTATTTCGAAAGATACTTTCTGCAGTTCTTGTCACCAAGTTTTTTTGAAATTCTTTTTCATTCTTTTAAGATTGAATTTATTTCCTTATTTTCTACTTTGACACAGAAATCCCCTGCAAAGAAGCTGAGCCATGCAATTAGTAAATCTCTGGGGTGTGTACCCACCAGAGAACCCCCGCATCCTGTTTTTCCTGAGCAACCAGAGAAACCACTTGACCTTGCAAATATAGTGTAAGTATACACCAGAATTTGGATGTGGATTATACTGAAATGGAGACCTTGCTGAGTTCTTTTGGATCAAAGCCAACTTCACCTAACATGAACATTTAACCTTCTGGTTTTTACTTTACTTTTGGGGAACTTAGGACTTCAAGATTTCATTTCTTTAAGTGACCATAAGTATTTATATGGAAGCCTAGCTCCTGAGCCCTGAAGTAATATAATGTGATATATTATAATAATAATGTAATAAAAGTAATATAAAGCCTCAGTAATATAATGATCTCAAACAGAAACATTAATTAATATATTGAAGAGTAATTATGAACTGGTTTTAGCAAGGTTGCCTTTTTTTGTTTGTTCTTCCGTAAATCAGTGGTAGAGATCATTTTTTCTCTGCAGCAATAATGCCTATAGTTATTTTTTTATGTTAGTTCAGGCAACATAGAAATGAAAATCAACTTCATTTGCTTCTTTGTATTGAGAGAAAATTAGGAAAGATAAGGTTGTATTCTATAAATAAAACTAGTGTTTTATTTTTACTTTCTTTGAATATTCATGCTAAATGAGAGAAAGCCAGACAGGAACAAAAAAGAGAAGTAGACAAAGAGGAAGAGTAAGGAGGAGGAGAAACAACGAAGCGTTAAGATTCAGCCTCTAAACTGGATTCTTAACTCTGAATTAAATGGTGTTGTTACCTGTCCTCCTGGATAAAGTAGTAGGGTTTTTTGTTTTGTTTTGTTTTGGGGAGAGGGGCAAGGGCAGAGGGAGAGAGAGAAAGAGAATCTTAAGCAGGCTTCATGTCCAGCAAGGAGCCTAACACAGGACTCAGTCTCACAACCCTGAGATCATGACCTGAGCTGAAATCAAGAGTCAGATGCTTAACCAACTGAGCCACGCAGGCACCCCAAAGTCAGTAGGTTTTTGAATATTAGTCTTTATTGGGTGTTGACAAGTTTTTCTGTTGGAGCAGACATCTATTTTCTTTTACCTCCGTATAAAACACTTAGGGTTCTTGATCTTTTATTTTCTTTCTCATTCAATAATTTGAAAGACTTTTATTAAAATAATGCATACGTATAAATTAGAAATTTAATAATACAGAAAAATATAATAAAATACAGCACATCCTCCTGCACTTCCTTGCCTTGTGCTTTGTCTAGGTTTTCGATCTGTGAGATGTCTTTGCATTTGAGTAGTAACTTGTTTCAGAGCCATTTATTGGATGATCCGTCATTCCCCCACTGACCTACAGTGCCACGGTCGTCATAAATGAAGTGTCCAGATGTGCGTGGTCTGGTTCTGGGCTCTTCTGTTCCTGTGGTCAAATTGTCTATCCTTATGCCAACGTCATACTATTTTAGTTACTATAAGGGATTAAGTAATGTTTTTAGTAGGAGTGTCTTGTCTATTCTTTGCCTTTTGCTCTTTCATATAAATTTTAGAATCAGCTTATTGAGTCCCTCATAAAATTTTGTTTGGATTTTGATCAGAGATTCGTTGGATCTAAAGATCACATTGGGGAGAATTGACATCTTTACAGTATTAAGTCTTCCATGTCATGAATGAGCTATGTCTTTCTATTTATTTAAATATCACTTTGTGCCTTTCAGTAAAGCTTTATAATTTTCCCTAGAAAGATATTATATATGTTAGATTAATTCTTCCATACTTTTAAAGATTCTTCTGTACAATTTGTTGTTGCTCTTGCAAATGGTGCCTTTTTTTCCCTACAGTTTTTTTGAGATATAATTTACATGCGATAAAATGCACCCACTTCAAATGCACAATTTAGTGAGTTTTGGCAAATGTATTCTGTCATGCAAATGGTATTTTCATTGAGTTATGTTTTTCAACAGTGTATTGCTGGTATGTGGAAATGCAAATTGTTTCTGTATTTTAATCCACTATCTAGTTATCTTGCCTGATGTGCTCATTAATTCTAGTAATTTGTACTGAGATGTTTTTGGATTTCCTATAAATAATTGTATCGCTTGCAAATAATGATAGTTTTGTTTTTTCCCTCCCAGTCCTGTACTTTTAGATATTAATCATACCTTTTTTTTTTTTTTTTTGGTCTTCGTACGCTGGCTGAACCTCCAGTGCAATATTGAATAGAAATAGTTTGGTAGGCATTCTTCTGTTATTGCTAATCCCAGAGAGACAGCTTTCAGCGTTCATTTAGTGTGTTATTTGATGTAGGTTTTATAGAAACTGTTGATCAGGTAAAAGAGCTTCCTTTGTATGCCTTGTTTGCTAAGAGTGCTTTTTTTGGGTCATGAATGGATGTGGAATTTTATCAGACTTTTCTCCCTTGACATGATCATGGGAGTCTCTTTATTCTATTAATGTAGTGAATTATATGAATTTTTTTTAAACAGCCATACATTCCTGGAATAAACATAAGTTGACTCTCTTTTTAATACACTGCTAGTTTTCATTTGCTAATGTTTTGCCTAGATTTTGCCTATGTTTAAAAGTTAAATTGTCCTGTAATTTCCCTTGTTGTTTTTTTTTTATTTTGTTTTTAGGACAAAGTCTGCCCAGTTTGCTATCTTCAAAAAGTTGAGGAGAATTCTCTCTTTTTATATTTTTTGGAAAGAACTTATTTAAAATTGGAATTATTTGCTCCTTCAATTTTTGGTGAAATTCACCAATGACGTTATCTCTGCCAAAAGCCTTCTTTGTGGGAAAAATTTGAACTGTGAATTCTATTTTTAAAAACAATTATAAGACTTCGTTTTTATTTCTTTATGAGTCACTTTAGAACATTTTACATTTGTCAGAATTTGTCAGTTTCATTTGAATTTTCAAAGTTATTGGCACAAAGTTCGTAATGTTTGTCTATGGTATGTGTGCTAATGTCCCTTTTAAATTCCCACTCTCGTGTATTTATCATTTTTCTCTCTCTTTGGTTTTTCCTTGAACACATCTTGCCATAGGTTTGTCCAGTCTATTGGACTTTAAGAGGACTAACTTTTGGTTTTGATGATTCTCCTACTGTATGCATTGTATTTTTGAATATTATTTGTTTCCAACCTTATCTTTATTATTTCTTTTGTTACAGTTTCTTTGGGTTTATCTTGCTACTCTCTTTCTAACTTCTTTAAAGATATGATTAGCTTACTCATTTCAGGTCTTTTCCCCCTAATTAATGCTATGAATTTCTCTAAGTTCTCTCTGAGTAGTGTCCAAGTTTTCTTATGTAATTTTTTTGTTTTTCTAAATATTTTCAAAGTTGTGATATGAATTCTTCTTTAAGAATACTATACTTTCTTTTTTCTCCTTGTTTTTTTAATTTTCTTTTTTTTTTTAAGCAATCTCTACATCAGCATGGAGCTTGAACTCACAACCTTAAGATCAAGAGTTGCACACTCTTATCAGCTAAGCCAGCCAGGCACCAAGCAGCATACTTTCTTTTTTTTTAATTTTTTTTTTTTTTAAGACTTTATTTATTTGCGAGAGAGACAATGAGAGACAGAGAGCATGAGAGGGAGGAGGGTCAGAGGGAGAAGCAGACTCGCTGCCGAGCAGGGAGCCCGATGCGGGACTCGATCCCGGGACTCCAGGATCATGACCTGAGCCGAAGGCAGTCGCTTAACCGACTGAGCCACCCAGGCGCCCAAGCAGCATACTTTCTTAATATCCAAACATATGAGGATTGTTTAGTTGCCTTTTTGTTATTAATTTTTAGTTTAATTTCATTTTGGTCTAATAAGTGGTCTATACTATTCAATTCTTTCAAATTTGTTTTGACATGCTTATTATATGTAGTATATGATCCAGTTTTTATTATGTTCCTAGTAAGCATGAAAATAATGTTTATTCTATGCTTGTTTGGTTTAGAGTTCATAGTGAATGAATGTATGTCAGCTAGGCCAAGTTTGTTAATACTGTTGCTCTTATCTTCAAAACTATACATATTTCACTAGGAAATTGAAAATTTGTTCTTATCTAGTGAGTCTCTTTATTCCTAATAATTCTGTTTGTTCTCAAGTCTATTTTATTTGCTAAACATCTTTTAGTGTCTTTTGCTTGTATGTGCCTAGTGGAACTTTCCCCATCCTTATACTTTTAACTTTTCTGTATCCTTAAATGTTCAGTATGCTTCTTGTAAATTGTAAGCTGGGTTTTAAAAATCTAGTCTGACAACTTGTCTTAACTGGCCAGTTTTGTCCATTTAAATGTATTATTATAATGTTGTTATTATAATTAGTCATAAGTAAAATTGGCTTTCATTATTACAGTTATAAAAGTATTACTACTGTAATAATTGAACTTTTTTCTACTATCTTATTTTGTGCTATTTATAATATTTTAAAAATTCCCCTTTATTTGCATACCCCACTCTGGTCACCCTTTCCTCAGGGGTAATCATTCTGATATGCTCATTGTATATCTTTTTACCAGTATATATTCTTGAAAACTAGGTTGTGTTTTGTACATTCTTTTAAAAAATTTATGTCAGGTGGCACTATGCAGATTTTACCTGTCCGTTCTCCCTATGTAGCTGCCTTCAGATCTCTGCCTCCACATAAAATACTGCAGTAACACCTCAGATGTTTCCCCGGTGGACTGGGTAAGAATTTCTTTAAACTGAGGGTATAGTTGTTGGTCAAAAGTTATGTATATCCCAACCAGAGGAAGTGTGTTGGGGAATCCGGTATTTTAGTACAGACCTGCAGTTAATCTCTCCCGTCTGAATTCAGGCCTCATTCAGCCGCATCTCCCTGCTGTGGCTGAATTCAGAGACTTTCTGGTCAGTTTCACTAGCGAGTAACCTCTGGTTTTTCACCAGGCCTAGAAAAGAGGAGCCTTTGGCTGTGTGGTTTTGGGTAGTGGACTGAAAGAGATAGGAGGTGTTCTGCTTTTTTAGGTGGACTTTCAACCAATCCTCTTATTTTTAATGCAGCCCCTCTCCCCTCTTTCCGAGGCACTCTAATTACTGAGCATTCCTGATCTTGTGGCTTCATTTCCCTTGTTGCAGGAGGACTTGGACCTCAGGTTTCTTC